TGTACCACTTTCCCCGCAATTTACTACCCGAACCTCGTTAATAATAATAAAAAAATATTACTATATACGAGGTGTGTTCAGAAAATATCGGGAATTTTCGTTTTTTGAAACAAATATTTATTTATTCGTCTACATTAATGTTGTCGCCTTTAAAATAGTCCCCATTGGATATTATGCACATGTGCCAGCTCTTCTTCCAATACTCGAAACACTTCTAAAAATCGATCTTTGGGATAGCCTTTAGTTCTTTCAGCGATGCGCTTTTAATGTTATCTATACTTGCAAAACGACGGCCCTTTAAGGTTCTCTTTATTTTTGGGAACAGGAAAAAATCAGACAGAGGCATGTCTGGCGAATATGGAGGCTGGGAAATCATTACAGTATTGTTTTTGGCCACATTTTGTTCAAAATGTAACAATTTTAGAACAAATTTTGCTACCAACATCATCAGCGACTTATCTGATGGTTTATAACAATTTCTTCCACTTTTTCCATGTTTTTATCGGTTGTTAATGTGTTTGTGCGTTCGGGGCGTTCGTCATCTTCAACGTCTTCACGGCCATCTTGGAAACTCTTATACTACTTGTAAACTCTTGTTTTACTTATAGCATACTCACTATAGGCCTTTGTTAACATTTCACAGAATTTATTTCATTTTTTAAGCAAAATTGGATACAAATTCTTTGATCCATTTCTTTTAACGAACGAAAAATCGCCGAGCTGATAAAACACGTCTAACCTTAGCGGCTGCCACAGTTAAAGTAAACAATGAAAACAGCTAAAGTTTTTATTATACTTCGGGGGCATGTATACCAACATAATAAAGAAAATTTTATTATTTTCTGAACACACCTCGTACTATTACTAAGTGATGGCTATAGTCATCACTAAGTCATCAATATAGTTCTGCAAGATTACATTCTAAAGGTGTTACATCATATCTTTTAGAGGCCATTGGTCAGTTTCATCTTTCAAAAATGAATATTATGAGGCTTAAGCTATACCTTAATGCTGCATGCTTTATATAGCAGTTAAGTTTACAGGCCATAAAACTAAGAATGCTTTGAAAACAAGGGACCATATTATTCCACATTACCCTTTACACATAAAATTGAGTTTCATTGTTGTCCAAACTTACGATTTGATGGATTTGTTAATTTAAAGGTTTTGAACGAGCAATTTCGGTTGAATTATTTTGTTAATGAGAGGGTTCAAAACTTAGATTGCTTGGACATTATAGGTCTATAATCCATAGCATATGTTAGAGTACATAATACGATACCATTTGACTAATCCCGATAGATTCCTTTGGGCAAGTTGAATTTGTTTATTCATATAAACCCTGATTAAGAAAATAAAAGATCTATTAATAGCACAGGCCGGCAAAAAATATGTTTGCTAAACGGCTAAGTTGTTGCAATTGTAGCCATGCTTAAGTAAATAAATATATAATTTAACATGAATTAAAGAAAAATAAAAAATAATTAGTTTTAAAGTTTGCGTGTAAAAAAAGTTAAAAAATTGAGGGGATTTAATCTCAAATAATTTCTTTACTCAACCCTGTGATCCAATCCAAACACCCTTTGTCTAATTGTAAATTTAGATTTTCATTAATGGCCGAAAGTCCTTTATTCGCTGAGTAACCTAAAAAATTTCAGGTTTGCTCTGAAGCGTAAACCAATTATGTAAATTTTTGTCACCTGGTTAAATAAATCCAACTTCCACAAAGCATAAAGTAAGAAAAGACAACATTTCAGGTTTCTTGAGATTAAAACTTTTTAAATTGTTTTGTTGATTATGTTTCTAAATAATATTTATTTTATATCCTAGTTTAGAAAATATTGTAAGAATGACGAGTAAGTACTGTCTGTCCACTCTAAGTTGGCGGAACTAAGGAATTTTGTAGTTTAGATATTAAAGAATTGTCGTACTGTGTGCTTTTAAAACAGATTTTATATTATAAATAATACTAGTACATATTATATATTAGTATTATTTATAATATAAAATCTGTTTTAAAAGCACACAGTACGACAATTCATTAATATCTAAACAACAAAATTCCTTAGTTCAGCCAACTTAGAGTGGACAGACAGTAGGATGGCTATAGTATAAGTATGAGGGAGAGAGAGTCTGGGTATTAATAGAGATAAATCTAATTATTCTTACGTATACGCTAAAGAAGTATCGCTAGTAGCGCCACCACTCGGTTATTGTCATGGTAACAAAAGTACAACTTTTGATAATCAGCTGTCAAACGCGTGAGTTACAAACGAGTGTTTTTGAGAATAAAGCCGGAATATGTTAAAAAATATCGAAAAAAAACCGTAGCACGATTTGTTGTGTTGTTGGGTGTATTTCGAGAGGAAATCCTGGGTTGAGTTTTTATCGGTTTTCCAATAAACAGTGTTAATCCGAATGAAGAAATAAATTTTATACAGTCCCTGTAAATATAAAATATCCTAACCTACAATGTTTTAATAAACTACCATTGAATATTGTTTATAGGTTATTTATTAAATACTATTTCGTAATTAATAATTACAAAATTACGTAAGTATTGAATATTATTATTAATGGTACCAAAAAGTTTGTGAGTAAATACAAAACAGCAAATTTTTGTTTGACAGTTAAACTTTGACCATAGATAAGGGATAAGTTGGGTGGGCGGGGGGGTTAGTTAGATAGGCAACTTAGTATTAAAGTTTTGTTCCGTGACTACTGCGCCATCTAGCGGGTGTAGTCAAAAAGAGATATTCAAATTATTGGTGGCTGAATTGTATTCTTTTGTTATCTCCAATATATAAATAATTTTAATATTTTTCTAGTGAAAGTTAAAAGAGGAATAATAAAACTACATTTTTGTAATTATTATTTTATTTTCCAAAGTTAAATAGATATAAACGCAAATGTTCAAAACACAACTTAAAATTACTCTACATCAGTCAATTAACTATAAACGTATCTAATAGAGGCAAATAAGTTTATCTAATTATTTCATTCCTAATCTAATTAATTTATAAGGTAAAATATATTTATAAAAATTAAAAACTATACAAATTTCAAGACTTACTGCTTAGAGGCAAATTTACATTTTCAAATTAGATTAAGAAAATTTACCATTTTAAAAATTATTTTATAAAATCATTTTTAAAGTTTAAAATGATTTTTTTTGAGAATATTTTATAAAATACTATAACCATATTTTGTACCATAGTTGAAATATTAATATAAAAATGCATTTTAAAGAATGGTTATAATTTTCTAAAATAATTTTTCAAAATTATAGATAAAGCCTAGATATAGGTATCCTTACATAAGATTAAAAATAATATAAAAAACTAGACATACCTCATCGTTTTTGGGAAATCGATGCATTTTTACCCTATCTCCCCTGCTTTTGCACTTTCGTTCACAACATGAATAAACCATAATAATTAATATGTTACACAATATAAACTTAAAAGGTTATAAGGACTTCACAAATTTAACACACACTTAAAAGTTTACAAAATGAAGTTATTTTTGAAAAGCTCATGTCTAATTATAATTATTATAAAAACTGTCATTAAGACAACGGTAGTCTCGGTGACAAAAACAACTTTGGCGACATTAGCGCCTCTGGCGAGTGTAGTCAAAACTTCCCAGCGGACAACCTTTTGTATAGTAAAGATGCACAACCATGACTTTGACCATAGTTTGTTTCTCTATGACTTTGACTTATTATTTGTGAAGTTATTTTTAATTCAGTTAATTTTTATCTGAAGATTTTTTTATTTTTTGGTATTAAATTGATAGTGCTATCGATAGTTTTAAATTTTGTATTGTGGAAATAGTAACCATATGTACTATGTAGAAATACTACAAATATAGGAAAAAGTTCGTAAATAAACATTTATCATGTATTTAACCATTCATTTTTGTTAAGAAAATAGATCATATTGATTTTGAAGACTGTGAAGTTGTTATTTCATAAAAAATATAGCATGTCATAGTTTATTTACAGTGCATATAGGTTACGGTGATTCAAAAAAACCTTTTTTTTTTGTTTTTTTTTCTCGGAACCACGCTCAAAAGTTTCGTATAGATATAAACATGAGCTCTTAATTTCAAAATTAAGATGCTCCGCATCGCACTTTTCGATTTTCCATAAGAATAACATAGGAAAAATTATTTTTGTTTCTTTTTATTTTTGTAACTAACGAACAATAGGTCGTACTGTAAAGTTCTTGACATATTTTTGTAGAGAATTGAACGCTTTGCAAAAAAGGTTTTTAATGATTTTTTGATAAATTTGATCCTTCTAAAGAAATTTAAGGTCAAAGTTCAAATTGTACAAAATTTTTGGAAAAATAATTTTTCCTATGTTATTCTTATGGAAAATCGAAAAGTGCGATGCGGAGCATCTTAATTTTAAAATTAAGAGCTCATTTTTTCACAGGCTTATTTTTATATCTATACGAAACTTTTGAGCGTGGTTCCGAAAAAAAAAACAAAAAATAAGGTTTTTTTAATCACCCTAATATAGGTGTTGTAGATATAATATACCTAATATGACATTAAGAAAGAGTTCAATAGGGTTTTCGTTACACATATTAACAAATAAACTACACCAAAACAAAAACGTAAAGATAATTGACATAACCCCAAATTTTGATATTATTATTGTCCAATCGCAGCGCCAGCTTATTTCAAATTCGGCGCGAAATTTTGCAGGCATGTATCGGTTGAAAATAGCCACTCTACGTGTGCGACACACTCCCACTATAAAGCTAGCTTCAGAGTTGATTGAAAATGTAGCTTTACCTAGATGATGTCTGAATGGTTTGATAGGACTATTTTTGTAGACCAGAACCCCAAAATAGTTAGTTCGACTAAAAGTCATGACAGTTGAAAGTTTAGGCTGTAAAGACCAAAAATTAAAATACGGTGTTTTTTTGTTTAAACCAAAGTTGTCTTTATACTGTAGCGAGTACGGCTCTGGATCTCGGAATGATGACTCATCGCCGATGCGTCATCGCCGGTGAGTCAGCGCTCGAATAATCGAGAGTGTGGAGCTCGCTGGAATGTTCCAGAAGACGTAGGCGCTGAATATATAAGGAACGACTCATCATGGAGAGGCAGTCAAGCTTTGGTACTCGCGACCAAATAGACTCTAATTAGTAGTTGTTTAGTTAATTTTAGAGTTTCTTAGTGTTTTAAGTGTAATTTAGTTATAAAATAAATAGTTTAGTTCGTTAATAAACCAGTGCGTGTTTTAATTCACACTACGAATAGTTAAAAACGTTACAATACACTCTAGTTCAAATGCGGTTTATTTCTGATACAAAAATAATATTTACAGTAGTCGGTTTTAGCTACCCGATAGTGCATAGTTTATGTTTATGTATGACTAGACGTAGCAGCAGCAGCAGCTCTAATTCTGATTATAAACTAATGCTGGCAAAAGTTGGCGTATGCTTATTATTCGTTAACAAGATTAGCAATTATAGGCGTGATATTAAACGTAGTACGTACGGTATAAATACAAAAGGGGATTAGTGTGCAGTGGCGGGTGGTGGAGAAAGCGAGCGCGCGCGGTGGCGCCCAATGGAACAGATATAAATCCCAGATTAAGTCACCAATATACATCCCAATCAAATCCAGTCGCAAGTTAATGCAACGAACCCTGTTTAATGAGCAGCTCCGAGGCTTAAAATTTATGCCATAACTGATGCAGTGCACATTATCGCCCGTGTCGAAAAGGGCGTGACCTAATCTACTTTGTCACTACCCGATTTGAAGAAGCCAATAAAAAATAAAATAAAATAAATTTGTGTTAAGGAAGCTTTCCACTAAGTATACGTTACAAGCAAATATGTCAAGAAATTATTTGATTTTAAGGTTATGTTTGTTTAGCTTTAATTTAGTGTTATATTTCTTTAAAAGGTTTAAATCCAAATATGAATTATATTAAGCAAAGTTATCATTAGATAATTCTACACCAACAAATATACGTACTAAATACGCTAAAGAAGCATCGGGTTTCCGCAACGCGCGCGCCATCTGGTGGTGTTCGATAGCATTGGATAAATTCAAGAATTGTCAAAAATACATTTAACGCATAGGAACTGCACACCATTTTTAAATAAATAAGTAATTTTTTTACACAAGAGAGGAAGGCAGAAGTCTTACTTGAAAAATGTTGTTCAATTGCACAGCTAAATCGCGAACGTTTTTTGTGTTTTGCGATGCAGGTGAAAACTAAAAAACTTTAGTTCTCAATTTCTATTTATTATCCTATATATCATTGATTAAGAAACTCAATGTGTATTTTATCTAAGTGATCATGGTTTTCATGTTTTGCCAAAGGATCCAATTCAGCACGTATATTTGTTGGTGCAGAATTAACTAATAATAACTTTACCTAATATAATTTATATTTAAGTTTGGACATTTTTAAAAAATGTAACAAAAAATAAATGTTGTACAAACATAACCTTAAAATCGAATATTTTTATATATGAGTCCTCTACAAAAAACGCCGACAACTGCATTTTAAACGACAAAATATACCTACGAATTAATGGCAACATAATATTATATATAATACATAATATTATACCGGTTCTTGGTATTTTACTGTAGAGTAGAGACTTTCTTAATGAACGCTAATAATGCTAAATGCTGTTTGAATTTATACGACTTATTTGTTTTATGATTTTTACGGAATTGAAATGTTTACAATTTTTACGTAAATCATTACTAAAATATGTATTTATTTTATCCAATACAGTGTTATAAAAATAAGATTTGTTAACATGAGTTGGTAGTTAGTTAAATTTATTTTGTAAAATTTTTACAAAATTTTTTGTATACCAACTAAAAAGTAATTTTAGGCAGCCAATCAAAACATTTCCAACACGCTTACTTGTGGGGGTTTATAATATTTAACGGTAACAGAAGTGTTTATAATGTCATTATTGGTTTTCAAATTAAAATTAGGCGATATAGTGAAGTTAAAGTAAATCAGTAAGTGTTTTAGTAGTACTGATAGTTATATTGTACCAAATTTCTATATAATCTGAGTGTATTTCAGAATGGTGTGTTATTTAATTTTGTGTATGTTATTTTTGTGTTCATTTATGTAGGTATGTGTTAATTATGTTTTATTTAGAAAATTGTTTAATAAAGCAACATTTCTGATAACAAATTCTCTTTTTTAATGTTCCAAATTTACAACAAATACTTTTGATACGGATAAAAATTAACAAATATTTTTTTACTGTGTAGGTACAATTTATATTTACCGGGACTGTATGCAATTTATTTCTTCATTCGGATTTCCAATGTTTATTGGGAAACCGGTAAAAACTCAACCCAGGATTTTTTCTCGAAAAACACCCAACAACACAACAAATCGTGCCACGGTTTTTTTTTTCGATATTTGTAACATTTTCCGGCTTTATTCTCATTTATAATATACGCGTTTGATAGCTGCTTATTAAAATTAATTAATTAATTAAAATTCTGGTGACGATGATAATGGCCACGTGGTGGCGCTACTAGCGATGCTTCTTTACCGTTAACTTAAAATTTATTTTTCAAACGTCAAATCTGTCTGTCTGTTTCATAATATTTTGGCAGTAGAATTTTTTGGCATATTATTATTCCAGAATTATAATCATAATTCATTTTGAAATAAAAAATATCAAAAATATTTTAATTATGGAATAGTTATTACTGTATTTTAAGATGTTCTTTGCAGTTATCTGATCTTCTTACAAAAATGGCGGATGCACCAGGATTAATACTACACGTACCCTCGATGACAAAATTAACCGGACACTAGGTTTTCAAGGAAAATATAACAAAGTTTTCTAATCTAAATTTTTAATAATTGTAATAAAATCTTAATTAATAAACATTTTTAAAAAAGGAAAACAAAAAATGGAGTGTACATTTACATAAAAATATATTAAATTAAAAATAAAAAAAAAATTATTTTATTTTTTTTGCAAAATATGCCCTAAAATTTTTAATATATATGTTAATTTACACTAGAAGTTTGCACTAAAAGAGTAAAAGTACCTTTCTAAAATTAGAACTTTTCCAAAGTAGTGTTAATTTAAACTGAACAAAAGTGGGATTTTACCCAGAAAGTGTAGAAGTACACGATTTTAGGTAAATTAACACTGTTTAATACAGTGTAAAATTACTTTATCCTTAGTGCTATAGTGTTAAATCAAACTTGCATACTTGGGGAAAATTACACTACAAATTAACTCTAATTGTAGTGTTATAAAACAACTTTATTTAGTGTGGACCTGTGTGAACTCTAATTAGTGTTGCTTAGAGTTGATTTTTTTTTACTGTGTAAAATGTTCGAAGTTGTCATCCATACATATTGATGAAGCCGCTCTTTACCCACCAGTAAGTAGGTTTAATCAAAGTTTTCAACCACAATATCGAACGGGTCCGCATACTTCGATTAGATTAGCGGTGTATTTAGGGTCTCGGCCCAAATGTTTAATTAACATTGGGGAAAGTGCACAAATACTTAAGTTGTACAGGGTGTGTAATATTAAAAAACATTATAATAAGAGAGCCATTTTAAGGCACAGGTACTACATTTTAATATTTTTGTGATATTATATTTTTACGACTTATGACTGCGAATAGTGTTTGAATTAAATCGAATTCAAATTATTCGAATAATTAAAATGATGAAATTTTCCCATAATAATTTCTATTGGAAAATTGTAATAAAACAAAGTAATCAAATTAGTTAAACTATTCCTATGATGGAAAAAAAATTGATTATAATCATTATTATTATTTTTTAATGTTTTAATGTTTGAAACATTAAAATAATTATAACCATTTGAATATTTTTTTTTGTTTTTTATTTGTAAAGTAAAATCTTAAAGATTATATATTTAGATAGGTACTATATTTGGTTTCAAAATTAATTTCTTAAAATTTTTTAGATTGCTTAAATTTTACGTACGTTTTTATATTTAACATCTTTTAGAGATGGACAAAAAATAAAAGTAAATTCTTAAAAAAAAATTGATAAATTATATTTAATCTTTTATATTTGGTATTTAAACTAATTTTATAAAATTCCAATATTTATATATATATATATATATATATACATATATATAATTTAAATATAAGTATATTTAAATTTTAAAAATTTTGATGATTTAATAATTTTGATAAGATAATATGATTTTAATATCTAAAAATATCTTTATACGAGTATACTCCTTTTGCATAATATTGTTTTTTTCGTGAATAATGATATGCATTATAAATTTCCTGCCTAACAACGGGATATAATATATAATATAATGAACTAATTGGCTGATTTCAAAATTCACTGTTAAACCAATCGGGTTTTAAATTGTGACAATGCGACTATAATAACATTTAAAATTGGTAAAAAATGAGGTTAACCATTTGAAAAATGTGAGATTTTATTTTTGATTTGTCAAACTTTATCAAGCGAGAGCGAAAAGTGCGATGTAGAAAGGGGTGTAGTACGTGCCGCAAGCGTGACAGAACGGTAAAGCCTGATTTATAGAATGCCTTCCTTTCTTCTTTCCATCCTCCCGTAAAACATAAACAATACCCGTACGGGAATCTTTATACAGCACAACGGTTTTTGTATTGTTCGTCATCTACGGGAGGGAGGGAGGAAGGAAGGAAGGCAATCTATAAATCAGGCTTAGGGTCGCCCCCGCCAAGGATGTTTGGGCGTGAGCGCACCTAGCAAAGCGGCAACGCTGTCAACGTAAACTTTTTGCGCCATAATTTGGAAAGTTACTTATTTGCGGATCCGCAGTGCTGAAAAATGAGCTGGATCCAGCTAAATTGCTGGATGAGGGATCCAGTATTTGCAATCCCTAATGTAATTTAGCCAAGAAGGTTTTTTTTGTGCTTCGCTCAAACTTTAAGCTTAGCACAAAAAAACTTCTTGGCTTTATGACATAAAAACCATTTTATACATATGTTTTTTTTCATAATATCATAAATAAACAATCCATTTTTTTTATTAGAACGTTAGTAAAAGGCAAACTGAAAGCACCTTGTATACTAGGGTGGGCCGATTTTAATATTTTTCAAATATTAAATTGTGAAATGGTGGAAAAGTTGTGCATTTATAAGGCCAGAAAAATATTATAAGAATTTTTTTTTTAATTTTAATTTCTTAAACTGCCGCAAGGCCTTGAAAGATCTTAATGTAATTTAGTATCGTTATAAATACGAAAAAAATTATCTGAGAGAAAATAGGGTTAAAAAAAGTTTGGTAAATTTTCACTTTAGCGACTTTCCTAAAAACGGCAGGAAAGTTGCCAAAATGCCAAAAATAGGTGTGGAGGGATGTAAAAGTGCATAAACAATCGGCGCAGAGTGAAAATGTTGTATAATTATCGCGTATTTAATAAAAAAGGGGCTGATAATTGAAGTGACACCGTGATTTTCTGTGAAAAAGAATATGCAGCGAGCCAAAAACACGTATCTAATAGACGTAGAATTTGAAAGTGGAAGTAAAAAAGCGTGAATTATGAAAAACAACGTCATGAATTGGGGAAAATGCAATTTTTAAAATCAAGTAATTTGAGGTTATGACGATTAGCTGCCATATTGGTTATGCAGGTACACTAAAATGGGCAAAAGTGAGAGAAACCAACGCAAACCAACCCAAACTTAACAACCCAACCCAACCGACCCCGCCCCATTGTCAAACACGAAAATCTTAAAAAATAATTATTCTCCATTTTACGCCGTCTCTCCAATAATTGCAATTATTGCAAAATTTAAAATTTACAGTTTGACTTCATACAGTTCAAAACATTAAAAAAGAAAAAAAATATTAAAGGAAAATAGTTTACTTTTAGTTTTAATTTTTTTTTAAATTACTTTTAAATTTTTCGAGGCGTTGCGGCAGTTCAAAACATAGATTAGGGTGTCCCTTATTTTTATTTTTTTTACGCATACCCTCTAATTATATATATTACTTGTTTATATACTCGCAGTAAAAATTTCAGCTCATTCTATAAACGGGAACCCGTGCCGACTTGCATCTAAACCCTCCGTTAGCCAACGTTAGGCGCGCGCGTTATTTTGTAACACGAAACACTTTAAAAAGAAGATATACTTCATGACTGTATTTTTCTAATGATTTTATTAAATATGATTACTAATTAATATTATTGCTTTTGTTTCTATCATTTGTTTCACTAATTTAGTTGATTTTATCCCTTAAATATATTAATATACTAATTAGTATTGCTAAAATATACTGTTATATGAAATTTCAGCTATTTATAAGCATTTCTTTTCTTGATGTCCTCCCAAAAATATTTCAGACAGTTCAATAAGTTTTCGGTAGTCATCTCTTACAATAGACTCTTTTAGTTATTTAGAGTAAAACCCATTAATTTTATCAATTTCAGAGTTTACGGCCTATTCAATAGACCCTTCCGGCTAACTAGCTACTCCCTGTGAAAATATACATTTTTATCAAAGTATACACATAAATAAAACTATATTTTAACATTTGTCAATAATTTATAATATAAGGGTCACATAATAACAAACACAAAATGACTTACGATCGAAGACCTCGCGACCAACCGTGTTACAAAATACCGCGCGCCTAACGTTGGCTAACGGAGGGTTCAGATGCAAGTCGGCACGGGTTCCCGTTTATAGAATGAGCTGAAATTTTTACTGGGAGTATATAAACACGTAATAAATATAATTAGAGGGTATGCGTAAAAAAAAATAAAAATAAGGGACACCCTAATATAGATATCAAAAAAAATATTTTGCAAAAAATGTTTACTTTCCTATTTCACAACTTTTTCTTAAATGCAGAATTTAATATTTTTAAATTTTAGAAGTTAAATATAAAATCGGCCCACCCTACTGTATACGCACTGTGGAGAAATATCTGCAAAGTAAATAAACTCACCCCTTGTGAGATCCAGCGACGTAACCTTGCCGTTTAGCACGATATTGTTGGCGCTCGATTCGGACCTCGTGTCCCAGAATCGGATGCTCTTGTCAAAGTGGCCGCTGATGATCGTCGAACCGGAACTGTCGACGGCCACTAGATCGTTACAGCTGGAGCCGGCAAACTTTGTTTCGATGCCTGAAATCAAACCGAAATGCCGATTTAATTCGATTAAACTGCACGTTCCGTAGCACAGGAGCCCCAACTAGGAAGGCAAGAGGACCTAATCATCCTAAAAGCATTCCGTTTATTTATTTGGTTAGTTCAGGAATAATGAGTAATTACTATGAAGGATGCAATTTACTTGCTGATGGATTTTAAGTTGTTTTGCTTTTCTTTATGAAGTACAGCTAAACATATTTGTTAAATTGGTAATTGATAAATGTAAACCTTGAAAGGGTTATACAAATAAGTTTTACTAAATAAACATGAGCTTAAAACTTTTTTGATGATTGAAAAACCACCTTTAAACTTAAAAAAACATTTTTTTAAATAATTAAACATAAACCTAACAAAAAGCCGACTTTTTGACCATGCTATCATGCTAATCATTATGTGCAATTAGTTGGGCGTCAGTGATTGGCGGATTTTATTATTCATTGTGATTTGGACCGATCATGAAATTCGACGTTTTTAATCTTAAACGAAGAGAGTATAATGCTGATTACCATAATTATAATACCCTTTACTATAATTTATATTGCTATTTGGGACAACTATCTTGTATATTGCCAGATACTATTCATATTTAGTAATTTTTAAATATCCATTAGGGTGTCCCTTATTTTTTATTTTTTTACGCATACCCTATAATTATATTTATTACGTGTTTATATACTCCCAGTAAAAATTTCAGCTCATTCTATAAACGGGAACCCGTGCCGACTTGCATCTGAACCCTCCGTGAGCCAACGTTAGGCGCGCGGTATTTTGTTACACGGTTGGTCGCGAGGTCTTCGTAAGTCATTTTGTGTTTGTTATTATGTGACCCTTATATTATAAATTATTGACAAATGTTAAAATATAGTTTTATTTATGTGTATACTTTCATAAAAATGTATATTTTCACAGGGAGTGGCTAGTTACCCGGAAGGGTCTAGTGAATATGCCGTAAACTCTGAAATTGATAAACTTAATGGGATTTACTCTAAATACCTAAAAGAGTCTATTGTGAGAGATGACCACCGAAAACTCTCTGAAATATTTTTGGGAGGACATCAAGAAAAGAAATGCTTATAAAAAGCTGAAATTTCATATAACAGTATATTTTAGCAATACTAATTAGTATATTAATATATTTAAGGGATAAATCAACTAATTTTTTTTTGGTTATTTTTTAGCAGTCATTCAGATATAATAAAAAAAAGAGTTTCGGGTAATTAGTTTTACGGCCTATTCACCCGACACTTCCGGGTAACTAGCCACTTCCTGTAAAACTATTCATTTTTATTAAAGTATACACATAAATAAAACTATATTTTAACATTTTTTAATAATTTATAATATAAGGGTCACATAATAACAAACACAAAATGACTTACGATCGAAGACCTAGCGGCCAACCGTGTTACAAAATACCGCGCGCCTAACGTTGGCTAATGGAGGGTTCAGATGCAAGTCGGCACGGGTTCCCGTTTATAGAATGAGCTGAAATTTTTACTGGGAGTATATAAACACGTAATAAATATAATTAGAGGGTATGCGTAAAAAAATAAAAAATAAGGGACACCCTAATATCCATGTATGTTAAACCTTAAGGTAAAATATTATTATTCTCAACCAATTTTGTTTTTAATTCTTATTATAATTCTATTTTTTCCATTACCAATAAGTATAGTAAATTTTAAAATATTATATTGCCATTTTCAATATAAAATATTTTAAAATCGAATATTTTAATATGTTAACAATTAAAAATTGTAACATATTTATTGTACTTTTTAATATACAAAAATGTTATAAGAAAGAATTGAACCTACACCTCGCCAAAGTTTTGAGTGCGTTCCATCAACTTCAAATACCGACACGACACTGTCGAGCAACTTGTAGTAGTGGAACACACCCAAAACAAAGAAATACCTAAGCTTATATAACATGGTTGGTAAGCCAACAGAGGCGAGATGTAAGAACATCACGTGATCCACACCGTCTAACGACGCGTCGCGACGTGGCCTTTGCCACAATCGGTACATACTATGCAACCAAGTAGGTTCAATTCTTTCTTATAAGTATTACCAGTAATGGGCCAAGAAAGTTTATTGAAGAAACTAAGAAAATTGAATGTTTAAAATGTCATAAGTTACTTTATTGTATATTATATTTAAATATATTGTTTATTTACCTTAAACATAAAAGTATCTTTATTTTTACTATATTTTTTTTTAATGTGTAATTTATTATAATATTAGATGTCCACCTTACATTTGATTAAATCATATAGTAAATATTACTATTTGTAGATAGTAAAATTAATTTACTATACGAACATATTAAAATTTAAAATATATATTATACATTTATGATTTACTAATATTGGTGTTGTAATCTTTACTAAAATTGTATAATAAAAAATAATATTTTGTATTACAATCTTAATATTGTATTGACGAATATATAATATTGTTACCCTAAAAATTTGTTAAAGTAAATTATACAATATTCTTTTTACTATCTAACATTTACTATACATTTCTCTCCGTGTACTTTTTACTTTTAATAATTATACGTTTTATGTGTCGTTTAACAAATAAAATTGACTTTAAATTCAAAAAACTATTACAAATTGAATTTAAAGGGTTTTTTTATTAAGATCTTTAATCAACGATGACGTTATATCAAAAGATCCTGCTGTACGTATTCTATAAAGCTTCTTATTTTATAGAGATACACAAGTGCCCAAAGAATCTCCTAACATCTGTGCGTCGTTGCGATGCCAGGTCTGTTGAGAATGTTGCTGCTGTTAGAGAAGAGTGCATGAGAATCCTACTCTCTAAAAATGAATTAGTCAAAAATGACTAATTTAATATTTATTAGTGGCTGCTTTTTCACTTGTACCATGGTTAACCATGAAATACCATGGTATCTCAAAATTTAACAGCCAATTCTTATGTAAAATTGTTCCATAAATCCGAAAAAATGTCAAATGTTTTTGAGATATAGTCAATTTTTCATTTAATATGGAATTGACTATATCTCAAAAACTGGTCCACTTTCATAATTTTTGACGATATTTTCGGATGCAGGGGACAATTTTACATAGGATTGGCTGTTAAATTTTGGGATACCATGGTATTCCGTGGTTAACCACGGTACAAGAGAAAAAGCAGCCACTAATAACTGTTAAATTAGTCATTTTAACTAATTAATTTTTAGAGAGATTGGTTTAGGTAAATTTTGTATAAACACTTATATGGAGAACAAATTTATAATGACCAAAATTCACGTTAATCAATAGTTTAGAAGATAATCGTGTCCGATATTAGGCAACGCCGCGCCGACACGATTTTTCGCCTAATTTGACTACTATAATATTTTTTTTTTATTTTATTATTTTAATGTGCTTTCAACAGGCACCAGGCCTAATTACAGAAGTACACAATGACAAACACAAATACAAATAAAATAAAATCACAGAAATATAATTTCATAAAATTGTTAACGTTTAAATATTGATAATTTTGTATGTTTTTAATAATTTTGTATGTTTTTACTCGTAATAACTTTGAATGTTTTTAATAATTATAATTATATGCAGTTTTTTAAGTATTTTTAAACATTTATATATTTAACTACATTGACAAGCTGTGACTTTATGGCGTTTTAGTCACGGGCTGAAGTTAACAACAGTGGCTTTTGGACATTTTAATCACGGGCTGAAGTTAGCTTTATTATAAATTATAGAAAAGTGAGGTTAATTCCGTTGATATTTGACAGATGTCAAATGTTTAACAAATAAAATTGGATTTAAATTCTTCTTTTTGGTCGTCGCGTCGTAGATAAAGTATAGTATGCAACTCGTTTTATAAACTTATCTAGACACTCGTTTTTATTAAACACTCGCTTGCAAGCTTCGCTCGTGCTTAATAAAACTCGTAACTAAAATGGAGTTTATAAAACTTGATACATAATATACTATTATCTATGTACTCCTACATTGACGAGCTGTGACTTTATGGCGTTTTAGTCACGGGCTGAAGTTAACAACAGTGGCTTTTGGACATTTTAGTCAGGGGTGAAGTTAGCTTTATTATAAATTGCGAAAAAGTGAGGTTAAATTCGTCAAATTTCAAATATTTATGAATTTAAATTTGCTTTAAATTCTTATTTCTGTTCGTCGTAGATAAAGTATAGTATGAAACTCGTTTTATAAACTTTTCTAGATACTCGTTTTTATTAAACACTCGCTCGGTAGGTTCGCTCGTGCCTAATAATACTCGTAACTACATAAAATTGCGTTTATAAAGCTTGTTACATAATATACTATTTTATTGAGGAATATTTTAATTAATAAAATACACGACTTAATAAAGAATAAGTCTCCTTTATTGGACGATAAATTCCGCATTCGAATAAGTCGCCGGAAATTCGCGTTTCCTTCGGAGAAATCGATGTCTCTCACAAATTTTCTTGTCAGTATCCCGTCACCAAGTTGGCTAAATTGATTTTAAATTAAATTACGATCCGAACATTTTTCAAACACTTATCTGTATTCTGCATACCGCACACTCTCCCAGCCCAAATTTCGAATAGGATTGAAATTAATGGCTTTCCTCGCCCGAGATTTTGTGTTTTATATTTTCGATGGATACAGGGTTAAAGGACCTGTCTCTAAATAATATTAATATTGGCTTTATCAAAAGACATCTTTAATAAATTGTTCTACACAGGTTTTGCATTATTTTGAAAATGTTTACAAACTACGAACAATGTTATCTGAAACAAGTTTTAATGTCTAAAAAACGTTTTTTAAGAGTCTTGCTGCTTTGGAAAATGTTTTTCTCTACACTGTTATACAAATCAGATTTGTTAACATGAGTTTGTACTTTTTTTATTTTATTTTGTAAAATTTTAACATAATTTTTTGTAGAAAACCGTGGTTTGTAATTATTTTAACAAAGATAAATATTTTACCAAAAGTTTTATAAAGGCAATTTTGTGAGCATTTTGTTTATTTCAAATTATACAGATTATTTTGTTAATGTTTAACAAATTATTTCGTTTATAAAGTACACGTGATTTCAGGCAGTCAATCAAAACATTTGCCACTGACAATATGCATTCAACTGATTTCAGCGTGTACAACTTATGTTTTTGATTACTTTATTTCAATTCGTAACCACTGTCCAGAGTCTTTATAATATATTACCAGAAATCTGTTATTATTTCTCGGATTCCTTAAAGGTACCTAATTAACGAGTGTGCGAAGTATCCGAAAAAAGATTCCATCACTGGTTTTCAAACTGAAATTAGGGGATACAGAGAAGTGAAGTTACGAAATACATCAGTAAGTGTTGTAGTAGTACTTATAATTATATTGTACCAAATTTTTTTATAATTTGATGATTTCAAAATGGTGTGTTATTTAATTGTGTGTATGTTATTTTTGTGTTCATTTATGTAGGTATGTGTCAATTTTTTGTTTTTGATTAATAAAGCAACATTTCTTTTCATTTAGGTTCCCAGTTTATAAAAAATACTTTTATTACAAAAAGGTTTGTAAAAATTAGGTCCATTTTATATATATAGGATTTTGTTAGTAAATCTACAAAATGTTTGTCATAATAAAAACTACTTATTTAATTAGTTAACAGATAACAGTTTGTTGTAAACTTAACATAGAGTTATGTGGACCTGTATTAACATAAAATCTGCTTAATATTGGGTTAAAATTAACAAATATTTTTTTACTGTGTACCCTCGCTTGGAAAGAAAAATAAAAAATTGTTCATTATAGACTAGGAGAAAAAAACTAAAATTAAAGCCGAGCATTTATTTCAGTGCCAGGCACTAGCCTAGGCAGTAGATTTTGTGCGAGGAAATTAAGAAGCTTTCGCCACCATGTTTTATATACAATTTTTTTTCAAGAATTTAATTGATTAATTTTTGTCACATCATTTTTAGGTTAAGTTCGACTGACCAAGGGCGTCGATAAGGGGAGGTAATGGGGGTAATTACCCCCCTCCCCAAATTGAAGTCCTAAGAAAAAAAATACTATGAATAGTTTTTAAAGTGTGGCATAATAAAAGCCCTATTTTATTACTATTACACTAAATGGTGGTAAGGTAGATAGTGAATTTAATTCGCAAAATCGTAATGATTTTGCATATTGTGCGAATCATCTAGATGATCTAGACCGTCCGCCCCCAGCATCCTTAGATTAATAATATCTCGCATCTTGTGCGCATCTCTGATGTACTAAAGTCTAGTTAAATATTGATAAAGTTTTGGATTATTTTGCAAAAATGAAAAAAATACATTATTTTATAATTTGAATTTTATATTTAAAAAGATTACCTAGGTACTTAAAAAAGAATATATTTTTATGAGATATAGTTTTGGTACCTTATAATCATTTTCCCCAATATACCGGGTGTATCTGAGAATAGGCGCACCCCTGTAAATTTTTTATTTATTAAGATAGACACATGAAATTTAGCATGGTTAATTAGGAGTGCAAAATGAATTTTTTGAACTTCCGGTTTTGCCGGAAAATGCATCATCATAAAGATTAATCTAGAGTGCTTTGAACTCTTATTTTCTTTTAATGGATTCACACAATGCCTGAAAAATGGAACTTGCCTTAGAAAGTTGTTATTTAGCTATTACCAGCAGGCTAAACTTGTCAAAATTGGTTTTTCTCAAATAGTTCAAAGCACTCTAGATTGATCTTTATGATGATGCATTTTCTTATGACGTCAAAAGGTCAATTTGAGGATACTGTCTGACTCAGAATTTTCTCAAGATTCCAAATATGTAAAAATATATAGAGCATTCTATGTAAAAATCGAAAGTTGATATTATTTAAAGTTCAAAAACTTCATTTTTTACTCTTATAATTGGCATTTTATATTCTAATTATCCATGCTAAATTTTATGTCTCCATCTTTATAAATAAAAAAGTTACAGGGGTGCGCCTATTCTCAGATACACCCGGTATAAAAGCAAATAAACAATAAGGAGTTTTGCAAAATTATTTTCCTTATATGTTACCCTTTCCCCCCAAAAGAAAAAAATATCGACGCCCTTGCGACTGACTGTATTTTTGTACGAAGGTTTATAATAATTTAACTTTTGAACTAGTAGTCTTTCCATATAAATTTATGAGTGTCATAATATGAAAATTATTATACGCTTAAAAAATATATAATTAAGTTTGTATGTAAAATATCTTTAATCATGCTTAAATCATATTTTAATTAAAATGCTCGTTATCTGGCTTGTAATAAATTTTCGCTGTATTTAACGAGACCGAATGCGTTAATATATTGATTATCTCTGTTCGTTATCGTCTTGATATAATTTTGTATTTAGTTTGATTATAATTATCACGACATTTCCAATTAAGATATTCCCTTTTAGAGTTCAAATTCTATATTTAAAGGTGTGCAACAATGTTCATATGCACAAGGGATAGCTAAGATTTATTGGCCCAAACTGTAAAGCTAAAAGTGTTAGTAAAAACTAAAAGGAACAAAAAAGTTCGAAAAATATTTTAGCAGAACAAGAAAAAATTCTACAATACGGTGTGGCCAGAAATAATGTTAATGTATTTCGGGGGTGATTATTATTTATTAATTATTTAAAAATAATTATACTTTATTTCCAGGGTATTTTTTGGACAGTAAATCATCTGGTGGTGTCAAATTAGATAAATGTGCAAAACAGGGACAATCGGGGAAAAATCTTCATAATTTATTTTTGTTGTTTTTTTTTCTGAAAACGGACACTTTTAGATGAAGTTTACGCCGCCCCATGGATAGGACAAGGAGGGCCAATACCGTGGCCTACTCGCTCTCCAGATTTAAATCCACTCGACTTCTGTATGTAGGGATATTTAAAATGATTGGTGTATGCAGTCCCAATTACCCCCCAAAATATATTAACGTTAATATTATATTATAATATACCTTAACCATCCGTTGTGCTTACAGCTGCTTGTAGTTTGGCGGCTTTAACATAATTTCCATAAAATCAGTGAATGTTTAGTATTTTCTTAATTAGTTTTCGTTTGCTGTATTATTGTTTTAACGAACGGAATAATCACATTAAATTTAATTGACAGTTTAAAAACATCGATTAAATTTAATTTAATAACATTTCGGGTGGCGATTTATACAGGAAACGTGTATCGTTAAAGCGTTTTATTTTCAACAATAATTTTAAAAAGGTAATGACTCAATTAAGTGGTTGACGTATCTTTAAAGAGTCAATTAAAATGAGGATGTTCAAATTTTGAATGCGTCGTTGCTAAGAAAATGAATCTTTTCATTTGCAAGGCAAAACTCAAATGAAAAGTGACGTTTCTGTGTAAAAAGTGACAGGTCTGTGTTAAATGAAATTAGGTGAGGTTAATAGTTATTTGTTTTTCAAGTGTTAAAAAGCGACTTTTTCATGCGAGTTTTTAAGTTGCCCTCGAGGCCGTTAGGTCTGTATGACAGCACCTGTCAGCTGTTTTTTTGGAGTTTACCCGCGGCAAAACTTAACAGCTGTTGTAGCCAAAAATTGCAATTTATATTTTAATTGTTAATTGTTACTCATGAAATAGTCTTGACAAATACCATTCAAGCATCTAATTTTTCCTGTGAAAAAAATCTAAAAAACACAATGCTAAGTAATATTTCTTTAACAAAACGCATTCGTGCAGGTGCAAAAATCCTCGTCTTCGACTCGGATTTTTGTTGCCACCAGCACTGTTCTTATACAGGGTGTCCTAAAATTTCATGGAAGTAAAGCAATCAGAGATTTCCGAGATCAAAATAAGTAGGACCAAACACACCTCTATACCAAAATGTTTTCTCAAATTTGCTCAAAATCGGTATCCAAATTTTTTGATAAAATTTGGTATGTGAATTTATTTTTAAAATTACTAATTTCTTATGTGCATGTTCATTTTGCTAAAAGCCAGGGTCAAACTCCAATACTTTGTAAAAGTAATTTTGCTGTGGAGTACTCTAACGACGAGCAAACTGATATGTTTTTGTCAGGACGCTACAATTTATTGGCCACCTCGCTTCCTAGATTTAAATTCGTGCGATATTTTCTCTGGGAAGCATTTTAAATTATAATTTTTTTTATTAAAAAACAGTGGGTCTAATGAAAAAATGATAGAGAAAAAACTTTCTGGTTTTTGCGTGTACTACTCTCTAAAAATGACTAATTTAATAGTTATTAGTGGCTGCTTTTTTACTTGTACCATGGTTAACCATGGGATACCATGGCCAATTCTTATGAAAAATTTTCCTTTTAATATGGAATTGACTATATCTCAAAAACTGCTCCGCTTTCATAATTTTTGACGGTATTTTCGGATTCAGGGGACAATTTTACAAAAGAATTGGCTAATAAATTTTGGGATACCATGGTACAAATGAAAAAGCAGCCACTAATAACTATTAAATTAGTCATTTTGGATTAATTCATTTTTAAAGAGTATCATCCTCCCAAAAGAGTACAATTTATTACACCTTGTATATTTAAAAGTAAGTTAAAATTGGATTATAAGAAAAGACAATGTTTCTAAATATTTTAAGCCCAATATTGCAGAGATTTTGTAATTTGAAAGTTGTACTTGTGGCAGCACAAATTTATCAAACATTATTTATTTATATTAATAAGTAGTAGGATAAAACTGTATTTTCTGTGTTGCTTTTAAATAAAAGAACAATAAAAGTAATACAATAATAGAAAGATCCAATTTTTTCAAATTTTGCCGTTATTCCAGCATAGCAATGAAATATTAATAAACAAAATAATATACTCTAAAAAAGTTTCATGAATTGTAGATACTGATTTTTTACGTTTCTGTCTGTCTAATTTTATTTTTTGCAGAGGGTTACGACATGAATTTATCGGAGATATAATAAATAGTTTTAAGTTACAAATGCTAAAAGACTATAAGGATTGTATTTCTTATTACAGTCGCCATAATTCCTCCTGAAATCGCTTTAATAAAGAATTTAATTTTATTTCGCTACACAATTGGAACAATAAAATAAGACCCCCTCAATATATTATCGCCTTTTAATTTAACTACATCGATATTAATACTTTCCCTCAGGCTAAAAATTTAAGAGTAGAGATAAAAATGAAATATCGCATTTATCACCGAATGCCCTTTTTACTATTTTCTTTATTAAATTCGACGTCCCCGTGTCTGGTTCGACAATTTAATGAAGCATAAAAATGCAATAACCAAAAAGAAATTAACCTGATATTATCATACCAGATGTTTTAATATTCCTGTATTTCCTTTGTGAGTTATATGCTAATAGATAAAAGAATATTTCTATAAAAATATTATTTAATTATTTTTAGTTAAATTATAGCCGTCAGAGCAAATATTATTGAACTTTGCCCGTTTTGATTAGGGCCAAACCTTAAAATGTAAAATTAATGAAATTATAATAGTATATTATGAATCAAGTTTGATAAACGCCATTTTATACACGAATTTAATTTAGACACGAGCGAGCTTGCGAGCGAGTGCTTAAATTAATGAGTGTATAGAAAAGTTTATAAACGAGGACAAATATCTTAAAATGATTTAAATTTTTATTATTTTATAAACACAGATTATAAATCAAAATGTACCTATTGCTTGAAAATTGACAGTTTTTCACAGTGAAAGTAAAGAAAATGTTTTATGAGGACTTTACAGTGGAGTCCGTGCCCGAATTTAAGTTATAGTTTACTGCCGGCGAAATTAAAAGGTCAGTACAATGTTCATATAAACTTTTCAAATATTGGCGTTGAGATACTTTTTAATGCTTTTGTATTTTTGTAGTGATATAATAAAATAATTGTCACATTTAGTATTATTTTACGATTGTATGACATTTGACAACTGTCAACTAACTTAAAACTAACTTCAGCCCGTGACTAAAAACCTGTTGCTGACTTCAGCCCGTGACTAAAGCGCCAAAAAGCCACAACTTGTCAATGTGTATTTAAAAGGTCACTTAGTGTCATGGTAACATGTACGATAAAGGGCGTTTTAAAGGTGGGAGTAGAAAAAATAACTTAAACTGACGAAGATTATGTTTATAAAATGACCCAAATTGTATAAGAACTATCTATATTTTTACTAAATGAATTTTTTAGTTTTTTTTCTGAACGTCAATATATTTTGGGGGTGATTTTATAAAATAAAACGTTGCTATAAACATATTTCCGAAAATGCATCCGGAGGGCGCTATAAGCATTTTAAACTGTTTCACAAAATCAGGTTTTTATTAATTATTTTAAAAACGGTTAGTATTAAAATAATGATATTTTATTTCTTTATTTTTGGGCAAGAATTCATCTGGTGGCGACAAAGTAAAGAAACGCTTGCTTTTCGGAAAAGTGCAACTTTGCGCTTTCTTTTGGAAGCGCAAATTTGTACTTTTCGCTCGGTTGTAGAAAATAGCCATTTGTGTATTAAGAGCGCAAAGTGATACATTGCGCTCGAATTACAAATAGGATTTTTTCTACAACCGGTGTTTCTACCCTCTTAAAATGAACATTCTACCATTTGAATTAGTACCAGCATGTTTTACTTTTAAATGGTTATTTTTTACTACATAAATAGTTAGTTTGACTAATTTAACATTAGTCACCATCTTTGACTATTTCTGAGAGTTAAAAGTAACTAATTTCTTTAATCGTTTTCGGCCAACAACAAAGTTGTATTTGAATTAAATGCATATTGGCTCTATGGTTAAATGGCCCATAAAAACAAACAAAGATGCAAAAAGTTTAGCTCAAAACAGCAACACAAATAATATATTCAACTTTAAAATGTTATGAACAACATTTATTGATAAATAAAATTGATTTTTATGAGAGTGACTAATAGACACATTGGTTAAGACAGACCTGAGTTCAATCCCCGCCTCACAGTGGGAGGAATTTCAAAAATCGCGGACAAAATTAGGGACACATTATTTTAAGCCATTTTAAGGTTTTTGCGGTGGTAAATTTATGCTAAGAAATTAATATTAATAAAATGTTTTAATTATGTACACAAATTCGCAATTTTTTTATAAACAATTTGGAAAAGTTCGGTTTTGTCGATCCTCCATTCTCCAAAAATATAAATTAATAAACAAATATACTACGCAATATTACCTAAGCCAAAAATAGAAAAATAAACAAAAAAAACAATAACAATTAAGGAACATTCGAGCGAAATCACTTATATATATATCGAAAAAAATGTATATATACATTTTTTTCGATACATCTTTTCTTTGTCAATTTCGCATCTTTAGCTTTATTTATATCGACTACTAAAGTGACGGTCCAAAAAACCCTATATCGATGTTAAAATTAAATTCAAAAGTTGACTTTAAAGCAAAACCGGTTAATTCCACGTTTTTTTACCTACTCTCTAAAAATGAATTAGTCAAAAATTACTAATTTAATAGTTATTAGTGGCTGCTTTTTCACTTGTACCATAGTTAACCATGGAATATAATGGTATCCCAAAATTTAACATCCAATTTTTATGTAAAATTGTCCCCTGAATCCAAAAATGCCGTAAAAAAATTATGAAAGTGGAGCAGTTTTTGAAATATAGTCAATTCCATATTAAATGAAAAATTGACTATATCTCAAAAACAGTTCTACTTTTTTAACTTTTGACGATATTTTCGGATTCAGGGGACAATTTTACATAAGAATTAGCTGGGATACCATGGTATTTTCTATGGTTAACCATGGTACAAGTGAAAAAGCAGCCACTAATTACTACTAGATTAGTAATTTTTGACTAATTCACTTTTAGAGAGTAACCCAGTCGGAGGATTTACTGATAAATACTTTTTACCTTGTAAAATAACTTTTGCTAATTAATGTAACTTTTTTTTGTTTCATTGTTACTAACATTTTTAATAAGTTCATACAAGTCCTTATTAGTCGTTGATGGCATTTCTACATACAAAGAAGCAAGTTATTCAAATAAATATATAAAATGTAATATTTATATTAATATTATAACTTACCAAATAATATTATTAAGCGTTAATAATACACAAAAACACGATAAGATTGTATGTTTGATTGACTTTCACTCGAAACTGACGTTTTAGAACTAGCAAAAGGCAACTATGATGACTTATAAATATTCGACTAATATGATAAATTCATGGACATATTTCATATTCTGCTGACCAAACAGGCAAAAAAAGGCAGGCTTAATTCTTTTGACTTTAAAAAAAGAAAATTTGATGAAAGTTCTGGTACCAAATACTTTGACTCACACCAAGACACACCTAAAGAAATATCTTCTGGTTTGTAAAAGATTTATCTACTTTGAAAGGCGATGGTAAAAGGTTTATAAAAACCTTATTTTTGGTAAAATTTGCAATTTTATACTTTTATATGTAAGAACAAGGATAAGGAATGTGGTAAAATATACCATCATTTCCTTTCATTAATTACGCAAAACAAAAATGGCTTGAAAAACTTACATACAATTTGCTCTAAAAAACCGACACGAACAATGTGACTTTTTAATCAAGTTTAAGCGGGCATTTTATCATAAAAAAATATATTTCTTTTAAAATTATAATCTCTGGGCCTTCTTTGCTTATAACTCGCAATTTAAAATTTACTATGTTGATTTTTACAAAATAGGGTTTTGTCCGCGATTTTTGAAATTCCTCCCAGTGTGCGCCTGGGTCAAAACTTTTTAAAATTTATAGTTACTAATTTGACTGCTTTTTCGCTATGACAATTAATCAAATATGACTTATAATTAGTTATTTTTGACTAATTCATTTTAAGAGAGTATAAGAATGTTTGTAACTTTGTCGCTCAGCGAGCGATAAAGTAAAAAACGCTTGCTCCTCGGAAAAGTGCAACTTTGCGCTTTCTTTTGGAGTACATTTGTACTTTTCGCTCGGTTGTAGAAAAAAAATAATTTTGTTAAAATAAGTTGGGGTCTTAATGCCATTTTGTTCTGAACCAACTACATAATTCTAGTCTACGTGAAAGATCTTGAGAATTTAAATCTTGTACTATCTGTAAATGATAGGGATAATGCAGTGTGTTCAGAAAATATCGGGAATTTTCTTTTTTTGAAAAAAATATTTATTCATTCATCTACATTAATGTTGTCGCCTTCAAAATAGTCCCCATTGGATATTATGCACATGTGCCAGCTCTTCTTCCAATGCTCGAAAACTCGATCTTTGGGATAACCTTTAGTTCTTTCAGCGACGCGCTTTTAATGTCATTAATGCTTGGAAAACGACGGCCCTTTAAGGTTCTCTTTGTTTTTGGGAATAGGAAAAAGTCAGACAGAGGCATGTCTGGCAAATATGGAGGCTGGGGCATCATTACAGTATTGTTTTTGGACAACAATTTTGTTCAAAATTTAACAATTTTGGAACAAATTTTGCTGCCACTCGTTTCATACCCAAAACATTCGAAAAAATTTTATGAGATGAGCCAATCGATATACCAATATCATCAGCGACTTTTCTGATGGTTTATAACCATTTCTTCCACTTTTTTCATGTTTTTATCGGTTGTTAATGTGCTTGGGCGTTCGGGGCGTTCGTCAACGCTATCTTGGAAACTCTTATACCACTTGTAAACTCTTGTTTTACTTATAGCAGACTCACTATAGGCCTTTGTTAACATTTCACAGAATTTATTTCATTTTTTAAGCAAAATTGGATTCAAATTTCTTTGATCCATTTCTTTTAACGAACGAAAATCGCCGAGCTCATAAAAAACGTCTAAACTTAGCGGCTATCCCAGATAAAGTGAACGATGAAAGCAGCTAAAGTTTTTATCATACTTCGGGGGCATGTATACCAACATAATTAAGAAAATTTTTTGACAACCGGACCCTCCGAACCCGCGAATTTTAACAATTCCCGTTATTTTCTGAACACACCTCGTATTAACATTATTTATGGACACCTTGTATTATCTTTCAGCTAACCGGTTTTTGACCAAGCAACACACCCCCCACTTCATCACACTAGCACCATTTGATTTATGGTGGATTTTGGTGAATTTTATTGGGGATTCTTTAGAACTACTTCATCTTCTGTAGCAACAATGTCAAAAATGTGCTTAAAACTGTTTAAAGTTTTTTAAACTCTATTGACCGTTTGCACAAAACTTTTAAGTCAATGACTGGTTAATCATTGAATCCATTTTTAGACATATGTCAACACTGTATGTCTAGAGTTTTAAATCGTCTAGTTTTTTATTAAATGCTATTTTTAAGGCATGTATTAAAAAACAATTTAAGAAATAAGTACAATTCTACTTACAGGCCCTGCTCCTAAGATCCCAAATCTTGAGGGTTCGATCGTGACTTCCCGTGACGACTTTGGTCGCTTCTCCCAAGAATTTAGCCGCCATCACCTTGCCCGAATGTCCTGTCAACGTGTGCTGAAAACAAAACAAAAAAGGGCACGGTGAGAATTGGATCACCTTACCTGGTAATAGGTAAAACAGTATGCATACATCAGCGAAACAATATCGATAAAGCGCTTTATCTGCTTACAACTCACGAATGCGACAAGCTTATATTTTCAAATGTTTACACAGAGTTTTAGCATTGATTAAGAACTCAACGGTTTTAGTATATGAATATGAAATATGTTTAAAATTTTCCATTTTTGTATTAAGTGGTTTTTGAAATACCTATGGGTCAATCTCATGAAAGGTGTCAAAATCGATATAAATTTAAATAAGAAAAAAAATTATATTATATAATATTTGAAGCAATATCGTAAAAAAGCAATTAAAGACGTGTTAAATGACAAATATGGTCAAACACTTTCCCCAATGTTTTTTCAAAATTTTAAGGATTTTTGAAAATTCTAATCACGGAGGTGATAACTTTTCACGGATGTGAGAATTACACCATATTTTTGCGATTTCATGCTAAATTGGTCTTTAATTTTGGTTTTTAATATTTTCACAAATGATAAACATGTAATTAAAAATAACTTTTATTAATAAACACCCTTAAAGGGAGTAAAAAAGGAACATTTTACCATTTACAACAAAATAACTCGAAATAACATAAAATAACTAGTTTATATTCTATTATTTAACACTCTTAACTTAACTTAACTTAAAATGGTAAGAAAGGAACGTGTAATCATTAATAATAAAAAAATCAAGATTCTTATAACACCTAAAATACTTAATTTATGTTACTGAATAAAGACAAATCTGTATTAAAAAATAACTGTTCCCGATCAAGAACTATTACTGGAGGAAGAACAGATACCACATCAGTCTTGCTTATTAGTGAAATGTCTTCACGAGCTGGAAAAAAGAATTTATCAGTACCAGTCTTTTTCTTAACAAATTTAATTAAGTAGTCATTTGGATAATCTTCTTACTCGGTCGACTGGATAACACCAATGTAATGTTTAACCAGCTTTTTTGTACAAAATTTAACCACAACATAGTCGTTGATTTTTGGTTCCAGATTTGTTAAAATGGAATAAGATGATTGAACATCAATTCCGGTTGACATGACATTGTCTAGATGAATGTCACAGTCAAAATCAGTGGTCCTAGAATGATTTTCTTTTGGTGATAAACAGGAATCAGGTTTTCGGTTTAAAAGTCTAGCTAGAAGCAGATTGTCCTCTTCGTCATCGGACGATGACGAATAAATATTACTGTAAATCAGTCTTCCCTTTGACAATGTGTGTGCTAATAATCGGTTAAGAAAATAGAAAAAAAACATAAAGAACAAAAATAAAATAATTTAAAAAAGGATACATTGTTGCAATTGGTAAGTACCCAAAGAGTAATGAGAACACACTTTGGATGGCGAGCAGCTAAGGCAGGTTAGTTTTCGAATATCCAAAAATGTATGTTGTTTAGACCAAACTACCTCGTGGCACTGTAAAACTCCCTTATATGTTGGCAGTATTTTAGGTATTTTCTCTTCAATTTTCTCAAGCTCTGAATCATCTAACTGAACTTTAAAAAGAATAATACCTTTACAGTTTGCTTTCAAATGGAACAGGAAAGATTGTAGGTTATGTATGTCTGTTCCTCGAGCAACAATACCATCAGCTGTGCGTTTCAAGACTCCACCTACTCCATCAGGAGCTCCCTTGCCGTGACCTTTCTCGCTATAATGCCACCGCAACTCTTCTACATTTAACTCCTGCGAAATAAAGTTTGCCATTAAGTAAAACATCTTTCTGTTCCGGTATTGGGTTGAGGGCCCGTCACTTAAAAAATGGATGTGTTTTAAATTTTCTACAAAGGTTTTAAGTTTTCTAAACACGGGAAGGAGATGGGCACAAATTGCCACAGGATCATGCCGCAAACTTGGTGACACTGTACAAAAACATTTCTTTTGCATATCATTGTTAGAGCTTTTATAGTACACAACAACTGTGTGCAAGCTTAACTGCATTTTTGAACCCCCAAAGTGGGCCGACTGAACTTCTTCCGCATACTTGCATCCGTAATTTTCGGAAAAATCCATATGAATCAAAGCTTCATTATTATTCATATTTTCCTTAATTTTCCGAATTTCTCTCATCTGGTGTTCTAAATTTTTTATATGTAAAAAAAATGGCTTCATTAAGCCAATGAACGTTTCATAAACCTCCGCCTTAGTAGACATAAGCTTTTCCTTAACAGTTTTTGTACACAGCTTCTCTTTTCCTTTCACTACTATTGTAACTCGTTTTGTAACCCATTTCTCATACACCATGGTGTCCGCTCCATCAAAATCAACTGTAACTATGGTTTTGTCTTTACAATTTTCGCATTTTCTTTCTAAACATGTTTCTTTTAATACTTCTCCTTCACAACAAATAGTTTTACATACTTCTTCTGGTGAATTTTCTTTTATTATATTTGCTATCTTTAACCTTCTAACAAGCAACCACATATTCGTATGAATTAAACAAAGGCAGGTATTTCGTTCATCTATTTTAGGCTGTACAATCCAGAAAGGCCGTAATCGGCAGAAGGTTGTGTAGCTAATCAGAAATTTATTTTCTTTCATAAATTTTCTGTGTAAATTCTTGAGTGTGTCATTTAGTATCCGTTTCTGTTTCTTAACATGTTTTTTTGTAACATAATCGTTTTTGCCAGGGCAGAGTCTACTGCACTCATCTTTTTCAAGAAAATTTATTATTTGTTGCCCGATGAATTCCTGTTTTATTAATCTGGTTCTAGATTTATTTTTTTCGGAAGTGAAAACAGATGTGGTTTTCTTTAAATAACTTTTTTGTTTGTACTTTTTGATAACATTGCCGGAAATGCATTTCCAAAATATTCTTTTTTGTGCAGGTTTTGTTAGAACACGATAATTTTCTGTTAACTGTTTCTCTATAACTTCGGAAAATAATAGTTTTTTCTTAACAGCCGGAGAAACGATTTGTCCTTCAATTAGTGCTTCCACTTTTTTTCTAGGCGAATGTATGTTTTTACACAGCTTATTTTTTACTCTTTTCAGTCGCATTCTGTATTTTTCCTTCTTTCTTTTCTCTTTCTTCAGTTTGGCTTTTAACACACTTATTTCTCTATTTAGAGCCTTTCTATGTTTTCTTCTTCGTAGCCTGCCTTGTCTTTTTCTTCCATCATTTCTTGCTTGAAGTCTTTCGTCATATGGGTCAGCTATAAATTCTTCTTGGATTGGCGAGGGGGTTGATGAGTCATCTTGTAATCTAATTTCGACCTGTCTTGTATTTTTCTTTCTGTCATATTGAAGTTTACTTCTATTCCGCCAATCTTTTCTTTGATTTCGTTTTTCTCTGTCTGTCATTTGTTCAATTGTTTTAATTTTTCCTGCTTCTTTCCTCTGGTAATATCGCTCTCGTTCTTTACGCTTGTCTTCCTCATATGTAACTGGATCTAGTCGCCTGGATTCACGTAGCCTTCTCATTGCTTCGCGCTGCCTTTTTTTCTGTTCTTCGTGATTAGCCTTTTTATTTTCATTGCTTTTTTCTTTGGAGCGAGCCATATCCTAAAAAATAATGATAATTAATATTTTAATTTAAAGAACTTTTAAAATTTCTCACCTTCGTGAAATAAGGTTCACCTCCGCTTCACGGATTTGAGATTCACGGAAGTGAGGAATTACGGTATTTTTATTTAATAACTTTTTCTCAAAATGCCTTAAATGAATTATTTTTTAAACAAGTTAACTGTCAGTAAAATGTCACTTTTTAACACAAAATTAACCTAGTTTTTTTGTTTACTTACCAAAAAATTTCAATTCACGGATGTGAGAACAACAAAGTGTCCACGTGGGTGCACCAAACTATAATTAAAAAAATAATACGTCTGTTAACCTTAAACCATTAAAACCAACTGAACGGAAGGGGTCGCGACACGCTATAAACTTAGTTTTAAAAACCACGCCACAAACTAAAATATTTCGCCATCTATGAGTAGAAAAAGCTACACCAAAGCATACTTCACGGAGGTGACATTTAGATTTCGGAACAGTATTTAAGGCATAAAATAGTAAATTTTATGAATTTTTAAAAGAAAATTCTATTGATATTTTCATTACAAATAATTTTTGTGGACATGTCGTAAAAAATTTTCATAATTTTTAACTTTTGTGGTAGTAGTACGGTTGGGTAGGCTCGAAGCCTGACAATTAGACTCCATGGTCCTTTTTATCTGCCCCTCCTAAACCAACCAGACTACTCCTCATCTTCCTCTTCGCCCATACCAGCCCTTTCGAATCTTCCAGACCTTCTTATAAAGGTCAGGATATCCTGCCAGGCAAGAGAGGCCAACTCTTCCCTTTGGAGTGTCATCACTCCAAAGATTTTATACCTTAGTCTGCCGAGGGCCTCACATTGTCCCAGGAAGTGAAAGGAGGTTTCATCCTCCCTTCCGCACTGGGTACAGGAGGGGCTGGTTTCAGCCCCTATTCTCGTGAGGTGTTTCCTTAGGCCATGACCCGTGAGTATATTCACAAGTGGGCCCAAGGAGATTCGGCTCCTACCTAGAAGCCAGATGGATTTGGGTTTGCTTAGGGTGACCAGAAAATCCCTGGTCTGCCTACAGCCACCGCTTCTTCTCCAGCTTTCGTTCGCCCTTTTATCAGCCCAATTATTTAGGGCTGATTTGACCTGCTTTCTCGTAATTCCAAAAATTGGTTCGGGTCCTACACAGGGGGTTTCAGATCCCAATCTGGCCAACTCATCAGCCCGTTCGTTACCCTCAACCCCACTATGACCTGGTACCCATACGAGATGCACTCTTTTTGTACTTGCTAGCTTTTCCAGCGCTTCCTCACACTCTTGAACCAACTTCGATGTGGTTCTCGCTGCCCAAAGCGCTTTCAGAGCTGCTTGGCTATCTGAGCAGATGTATATATCTGTCTCACTCCCTGTTCTTATATCCTCACAGTTTGCAACCTCAAGTATGGCAAACACTTCCGCTTGAAAGACAGTGGTATATCCTCCGAGCGGGTAGCTCCTTTGGATATCCCTGTCCTCCACGCAGAAACCTGCCCCTG